CCGCTTCCTGCTGCCGGCCTTGCGCTCCTCCTTGGTCACGCCCAGGCAGCCCATCAGCTCGAGCAGCGAGAGGGCCTTGTCGTTGTTCCCGTCGCAGTACTCCACGAACTTCTTCACGCACTTCTTGGGCTTGGACTTCTTCCGAAGGAACCTCTTGAAGGGCTTCAGCTCCTTCTTGCCGACGTCCCCGCTGGAGTTCTTGTCCAGCAGCTTGAAGTACCAGTGGACCACTCGCTCCTCCAGCGTGTGGCTGGGGTCGGGCTCGGAGAGCCTGGAGGAGCACACGGGAGGGAGGTCGGGGTGGCCGCGCCTCCCTCCGCCCTCGCCCCCCTCCCTGTGCCCTCCAGGCCCTGATGCCGAGCCCGCCTGGAAGTGCCACTTGATGGGACCTGGATTTAAAAATCATTTAGGGAGCCCTGGACCCTGTGGCTCAGGTGGTTGGGCGTCATTCTGAGCACCAAAAGGTCGCCAGTTCGATTCCCGGTCACAGCACATGCCCAGGTTGCAGGCTCGATCACGAGTAGGGGGCGTGCAGGAGGCAGCCCATTGATGTTTCTCTCTGATCTATTTTCTCTCTGATCTATGTTTCTCTCTCTCTCTCTCTCTCTCTCTCTCTCTCTCCCTTCCCCTCTCTCTAAAAAATAATAATAATAATTTAGAGAAAGGGATTTAGCAAAAATTTTTCAAGTTGGTTTCAAAATTGCAAATGACACTGAATGTGTGCGTGCCAACTATGCACCTGGCGTTGGCCAAGTCCTGGAGGACAGAGCGCCCTGTCCCGGTTCTGTGCTCCGTGGACGTGGCAGGTCGGGCCACACGTGAAGGACCCGCTGCAAACCTGGGACCCGAGGTTCCCTCCTCCGTTCGACGTGGCTCATTGTCATATCAGCTACGTCACAGGGACAATGAAAGGTGCAAACCAAGACGTAACTTAAAGCGGTAACTGGATGTTCTCCTTGAATTAAAGATTCTGTATTTGGAGATGTGACCACACGCAGCTCCTCTGGGAGGCCTGGACCTGAGTCAGGGCTGGACACGGTCCCAGATGTTAAAGATGCCTTGTGGCCCTGCCCGGTGCGGCCCAGTGGATAGAGCGTTGGACTGAAGGGTCCTGGTTTCATTCTCTCTGCTCATAGATGTTTCTCTCTCTCCCTCTCCCTCTCCCTTCCTCTCTGAAATCAATAAAAATAAAAATATATTTAAAAATAATGTCCCTTAAAATGAAGAGGTTACTGCAGATTCCCAGGGGGATCTGAGGCTTGAAAGGCCACACTGGGAGCCACCCTCACACTGGCTGTTGGGGCCAGAGGAGGAGGAGGAGGAGGAGGAGGAGGAGGAGAAGGAGGGGGAGGAGGCAGGACCTTCAGGACGCGAGAAGCCGGGGTGCCTCCCGGGCACGGAGAGGATGCATACAGTTCCACAGTCAGGGCTCGCACTGTGTCAGCGAGCGAACCACGGAATCGTGCGCTTGAAACCAGCTCAGATGGTACGTTGTACGTGATGTATGTGGTTCCCACAATAAATCCATAATATTTTGAGAACTTTAAAGTGCACATTTTCACACACAGTATTTAACATCCAGTCCACTGCTGTGAAATGCAACTCCAAAGCATAAAGCCACTAAACTAGACCTGTCCCCCCTCTCCCTCCTCCCCTCTCCCTCCCACCGCCCGAGGGGATCACGGAAAATCCCGCGGGTCTGGCCGCTCCCCAACAGGACAGCCTCCTCAGTGGCTTGACACGACAAAGACACTAAAGGAGGCACCTCCAACCCCTCGAAGCCCCTTCCCGTGCGGGGGGCAGGAGGCCCCCTCTCGTGCCCGCCCTGCGGCTCCCAGGTGAGCCGCCGGCTCTCACAGCTGGGGCTGGACTTGGCTAGCGGGTCAGTTTCCTCCGGTTACGGGCTCCCTCCCAGCACCCGGCTCCGTGTCACGGGCGACGTACCTGCTGGGGGAGGACGGGTCGGAGACGGCGTGGACCATGTCGGTGGACAGTGCGTCCAGAACGCTCGTTAGAAACTCATTCTTTTTGGCACCAGGACAACCTGAAACAAGGAGGATGCGCGTGTTTTCATTCACGGAACTCAGAGCTCCGGCCTTTCCCGTGAGGAGATTCACAGAACTCAGAACACGGCCTTTCCTGTGAGGAGAGAGGCGTCGCTTTAACAGGCGGAGGGCGAGCTGGGCTCAGGGGATCACCTTTCCCGTGAGGAGATTCACAGAACTCAGAGCTCCGGCCTTTCCCGTGAGGAGATTCACAGAACTCAGAGCTCCGGCCTTTCCCGTGAGGAGAGAGGCGTCGCTTTAACAGGCGGAGGGCGAGCTGGGCTCAGGGGATCACTCAGGAGAGGCCCACACTGACGCTCAGGCACCCCGGGCACTGGGTTTCCTGTTATCATCACTCGAGCACCCGGGGCTGCGGATGCGGGACCGCGTCCCACCGGCTTCCACGTCACTAAATGCCCCTCGGGAAACAGACGGGCACGGGGGACACAGTCAGGGCTCGCACTGTGTCAGCGAGCGAACCACGGAATCGTGCGCTTGAAACCAGCTCAGATGGTACGTTGTACGTGATGTATGTGGTTCCCACAATAAATCCATAATATTTTGAGAACTTTAAAGTGCACGTTTTCACACACAGTATTTAACATCCAGTCCACTGCTGTGAAATGCAACTCCAAAGCATAAAGCCACTAAACTAGACCTGTCCCCCCTCTCCCTCCTCCCCTCTCCCTCCCACCGCCCGAGGGGATCACGGAAAATCCCGCGGGTCTGGCCGCTCCCCAACAGGACAACCTCCTCACTAAAGGAGGCACCTCCAACCCCTCGAAGCCCCTTCAGGACGGAGGACATCCTCAGGGAGAGCCCACAGCCCCCGACAGTGTGACTTTTGCAGGAAACAGTTCTCGTTAACTCTCCCCTGGCGGGAAGTAGGAGACGGGAGGCGGAGGTGTATCCTCCACGACTGGGCCTTGGGGGCCTCCTGCGGCCGCCCCAGCTCTGCTCTCAGCGAGGACGGGGCGTTGTCAGGACAGTGCCTCTCCTGAGCAGCACCCTGACCCCGGGGGGAACAGGACAGGCCACGCTCCAAGTCCAGTCCCTGTGGGCAGGAAGCACCAAGGGGCCGGCTGACCCCAGGATAACTTCTCCAGGCCGAGGGCAGGTGTGTCCTGGGGCGGGTGTGTCCCAGGGCAGGTGTGTCTCGGGGCAGGTGTGTCCTGGGGCAGGTGTGTCTCAGGGCAGGTGTGTCTCCGGGCAGGTGTGTCCTGGGGCAGGTGTGTCTCAGGGCAGGTGTGTCCCAGGGCAGGTGTGTCCCGGGGCAGGTGTGTCCCAGGGCAGGTGTGTCTCGGGGCAGGTGTGTCCTGGGGCAGGTGTGTCTCAGGGCAGGTGTGTCCCAGGGCAGGTGTGTCCCGGGGCAGGTGTGTCCCAGGGCAGGTGTGTCTCGGGGCAGGTGTGTCCTGGGGCAGGTGTGTCTCAGGGCAGGTGTGTCCCAGGGCAGGTGTGTCCCGGGGCAGGTGTGTCCCAGGGCAGGTGTGTCTCGGGGCAGGTGTGTCCTGGGGCAGGTGTGTCTCAGGGCAGGTGTGTCCCAGGGCAGGTGTGTCCCGGGGCAGGTGTGTCCCAGGGCAGGTGTGTCTCGGGGCAGGTGTGTCTCTGGGCCCTGGGTGGGATGCGTTCAGGAGGCAGCCAATCGATGTGTTTCTCTCACATCGATGCTTCTCTCTCCCACTCTCTCTAAAAATCAATGGGAACATATCCTCAGGTGAGGATTAACAAAAATAAAATTTAAAAAAATCGATCTCGTGAGCTTAGGGCCCCCCTCAAGTTTCCGGGGACCCGCCAGGCACCCACGGAGAACAGTGCCGTCTGATGACAGGGATGAGAGGTTGGGGTGACCACCCTCACGAGGGGCTGGGCCGCTGTGCAGGGACCTCCCGGAGACCATTGGCTCAGCCCATCAGAAGAGAGGACGCCCCCTGGCGATCCACCAGGGCGGCTGGGGTTAGGAACAAGCCCCGGTTTCACCGATTTCCGCGCACAGGCTAGTGCCAACACGGCAACAGACACAGCGAAACGGACCGCCTCGGCCTCGGGAGGGGAGCAGCGCAGCGGGAGCCGCGAGGGTCCCCCGAGAGCCCGCGTGCACGAGGAAGTGCTGCTCGTGGAGGAGCGTCAGGCCGTTCATTGGAAAGGACGCGGTGGCCCTCCCGCTCCTGCCGCTTGTAAACCACCTTCACCAAGGACAGAGCTCGGCGTGAATGGGACTCGCCGCCCCGTCCAGGGCAGCCCTGACGTCTGAGGAAGCCCCTGTGCCTTCGGCCCCCAGCCAGCAGCGGCCGACACGCGTGCTCTCCCGCGGGTCCGTGCAGTAAGCGGGACAGTGCCGGCGCCTCTGTAACGATGTTTTCAATCGGCACCGGTTGCCTTTCCTGCCTCTGTAACTTGTCATTTGTTCTTATTTTATTGTGAATGAGCAATTTCCACCATTTCCCCCCAAGCTTTCTCCAACTTCTCCTCATTTTCTTAAAAATCAGGAAATAATTAACTGAACTAAATTTTCTAATAAAACCTCACTAAGCCCTCTGCCCGGTGCAGGGCAGTTACTGAGTTCAGTTCCTGCCTTTTCTGTGCCTCCTGCACCCGCTCAGCCTCCCGTCGGCTTTGCTTTTAGGAAGCAGGCGTCCTACAGGAAGGATTTGTCTCACGCCAGCTCCTTGGGGCTGCTGGGCTTTTCCCGCCCGAGAGGAGCCCCTGCCGCACACCCGCCAGCTGGGACCCCCCCAGGGTGCCCCGGTTCCATCACGAGCTGGGACCCCCCCAGGGTGCCCCAGTTCCACACCCATGAGCTGGGACCCCCCCAGGGTGCCCCGGTTCCATCACGAGCTGGGACCCCCCCAGGGTGCCCCAGTTCCACACCCATGAGCTGGGACCCCCCCAGGGTGCCCCGGTTCCATCACGAGCTGGGACCCCCCCAGGGTGCCCCAGTTCCACACCCATGAGCTGGGACCCCCCCAGGGTGCCCCGGTTCCATCACGAGCTGGGACCCCCCCAGGGTGCCCCAGTTCCACACCCATGAGCTGGGACCCCCCCAGGGTGCCCCGGTTCCATCACGAGCTGGGACCCCCCCAGGGTGCCCCAGTTCCACACCCATGAGCTGGGACCCCCCCAGGGTGCCCCGGTTCCATCACGAGCTGGGACCCCCCCAGGGTGCCCCAGTTCCACACCCATGAGCTGGGACCCCCCCAGGGTGCCCCGGTTCCATCACGAGCTGGGACCCCCCCAGGGTGCCCCAGTTCCACACCCATGAGCTGGGACCCCCCCAGGGTGCCCCGGTTCCATCACGAGCTGGGACCCCCCCAGGGTGCCCCGGTTCCACACCCATGAGCTGGGACCCCCCCAGGTGCCCCGGTTCCACACCCGCCAGCTGGGACCCCCCCCAGGTACCCCGGTTCTGTCACGAGGTCTTTAGCCAGAGCGTCTGTGTGGGTTTGCGTTTCATCCGCAGCATCCTTTCCTCGGTAACACTGGATGGAATGGTCTATTTATTGGCCATTTTTTCCATAAAAGGCAATTTTCTTCTGAAGGACTAATCACTCTACAAACTTAATTGCATATTTAATCATCCACGCAGGCATAAGACGTGAACAATGTCGCTCTTTCTCTCCAAGCTTTGCTCTCGAGAATCGGCCCCTGCCCCAGGGCCCGGCGCAGACTTTGACACAAGCAACAGCGGACACGCATTTCACATCCACTCTCACACACAGCGCACCTGTCCTGACCTGCACACCTGCCCTCACCTGCACACCTGAGCTCACCTGCACACCTACCCTCACCTGCACACCTACCCTCTGTCCTCACCTGCCCTCACCTGCACACCTGTTCTCACCTGCACACCTGTCCTCACCTGCACACCTGTCCTCACCTGCACACCTGCACACCTGTGCACACCTGTCCTCACCTGCACACCTGTCCTCACCTGCACACCTGTCCTCACCTGCACACCTGTCCTCACCTGCACACCTGTCCTCACCTGCACACCTGTCCTCACCTGCACACCTGTCCTCACCTGCACACCTGTCCTCACCTGCACACCTGTCCTCACCTGCACACCTGTCCTCACCTGCACACCTGTCCTCACCTGCACACCTGTCCTCACCTGCACACCTGTCCTCACCTGCACACCTGTCCTCACCTGCACACCTGTCCTCACCTGCACACCTGTCCTCACCTGCACACCTGTCCTCACCTGCACACCTGTCCTCACCTGCACACCTGTCCTCACCTGCACACCTGTCCTCACCTGCACACCTGTCCTCACCTGCACACCTGTCCTCACCTGCACACCTGTCCTCACCTGCACACCTGTCCTCACCTGCACACCTGTCCTCACCTGCACACCTGTCCTCACCTGCACACCTGTCCTCACCTGCACACCTGTCCTCACCTGCACACCTGTCCTCACCTGCACACCTGTCCTCACCTGCACACCTGTCCTCACCTGCACACCTGTCCTCACCTGCACACCTGTCCTCACCTGCACACCTGTCCTCACCTGCACACCTGTCCTCACCTGCACACCTGTCCTCACCTGCACACCTGTCCTCACCTGCACACCTGTCCTCACCTGCACACCTGTCCTCACCTGCACACCTGTCCTCACCTGCACACCTGTCCTCACCTGCACACCTGTCCTCACCTGCACACCTGTCCTCACCTGCACACCTGTCCTCACCTGCACACCTGTCCTCACCTGCACACCTGTCCTCACCTGCACACCTGTCCTCACCTGCACACCTGTCCTCACCTGCACACCTGTCCTCACCTGCACACCTGTCCTCACCTGCACACCTGTCCTCACCTGCACACCTGTCCTCACCTGCACACCTGTCCTCACCTGCACACCTGTCCTCACCTGCACACCTGTCCTCACCTGCACACCTGTCCTCACCTGCACACCTGTCCTCACCTGCACACCTGTCCTCACCTGCACACCTGTCCTCACCTGCACACCTGTCCTCACCTGCACACCTGTCCTCACCTGCACACCTGTCCTGACCTCCACACCTGTCCTCCCCTGCATGCCTGTGGTCCTGAACAGTACCAGGGAGGCCGGTACCAGGGAGGCAGGTACCAGGGAGGCAGGCACCAGGACGCCCTCCAGGTGTGGCTGTAAGCCCTGGCACGGCATGGCACCCGCTCTCCGCATCCACAGGACCAGGGGGCTGCCTGCCCACACCTAAGCCTCTCCTCCCTGCTCAGCTACCGTTCAGCAGCCTCGCGTCTATGAAACGGTATTTGATCTGAGGGGAAATCACTGAAGTTGACATGTTTAATGGGTGAGACATCGGCTCCTCCTCCTGCCTGTGACAGAGCCTCGAAGGCCGAGTCCAGTGGAGGAAAGGGCACAGGGGCATCTGCAGGGCCGGGCGGCCCACACACAGGCACGGGGCCAGCTGGCATCGCCTGCTGGCGAGCGGCCTCAGCTACCCGTGGGGAGGGGGGATCGCGTCACGCCCCCCGGAAGTGCTTAAACAGGATGTGAAACCCTGGGGTGCTCTGAGGGGTCTGCTTCAGCCAGACCCGCATCCCACCCACCGTCCCAGCCGGAAACGAAAGCAGTGCCTTCAGAAGGAAGGGCCGGCCCGCGGCTGGAAGGAGCTGCCCACGCCACGCGCCTGCTGTTCTGGGAACAGCCTGCCCTGCACCAAGAGCAGCCTCGGCCGGGGTTGTTTGAAGGCCACTTGCTTTTCCCTAATAAGGATGCCTGTCTCCAAAGAGTCACAGGACGAAGGCGGTCCCACTCCCAGACCTCCGCGGCTGCGGGCAGGCCGAGCCGCCTGAGCCTGCGCCCGGGCCTCTGGTTAGTGTCTGAGGCCTGGGAGGCGGGAGGCAGCGTCGGGGTGACAGCGCCCCAGTCTCCTCCTAGGGGCAGCAGCGGGGTGGGGTTCCTCCCCCTCCTCCCCGCCCCCCAGTCTCCAGGGCAGGGGAGGGGCGGGGTTCCCACAGCTGGGACAGGACCTCTTCCCAGCGCCCTCCCTAGACCTTCTCTCTCCAAAGGCACATCTGACACCCAGACAAGCAACACTGGCAGGACTCCCTCCTACGACCAGCTGTTCCCGCAAGATGAACCCCCACGTCGGTGCTGGGTTCCGTGGTGACAGTTCCCCACCGCCTGCCGCGGACACAGGCACCGCGGCCGCACCGACGCCGGTGACGTGCAGGGGCACTCATGAGTAGGCAGGTCGATGCAGGAACAGTGCCGTCTTGTTTGATCAGAAACGTTAAGAATCTCGGCCCCAGAGGGACAGAGCGCGGGCCCTGAGACCTGAGTGAGACCAGCAAGCGCTCGCCGTGGGCTCTCCGGGCGCCGAGCACAGGCCGCAGCCGCTGTTTCCTGTAGAGAAAACTATCCTCCACCGAATCCGACACCTGGCGGAGGAGGGGTTTCCCCGGCGATGGCGGCAGAGAGCCCCCCCGCCTGCTGGTCGCGGACACAGGGGCCCCCGACTGAGGGGGAGACGCCCGCCAGGTGCACAGAAGGCGCTCAGCGAGGAGTCTGCACAGCGGTGTTTGCACCTTCATGCTGCCCCCCTCCCCCACCACAACGCCGAGGAAGCCTGGTTCACGGAGCTCCGTGCTGACCACCCACACGGAGGAACAGCGAGTGATAGACATCATGTCCCGCAGACGCCTGATCCGCCCCCAGAGGAAGATGCCACAGACGCGGAGCGGGAAGGTCCGACTGAGACAGGAGGGCTGGGAAAGCAGGGCCTGGACGGCCACGTTCCCGCGTTTGCCGCCCGACCCTGATCCCCGGCCCCCTGTGTGCAAAGCGCCTGCATCGCGGCCTTGGACGGAGGCCTGTGGCTGTGCCTGTGGCTGTGCCCGTGGCTGCACTCGGCCTCCTGCCCTCGTGGATAAGCAGGAAACACATTTACGTGTAGAATCTAAAACCCTCTTTATCGGTCACAGCACAAACCATGCAAGACCCACACGTGTTTCTAAACAGGCCCCCGCCCGGCTGCGTGTGAGCCCAGATCGCAGGCGCGCTCTCCGCCGAGGAGGCTGCGGGGGCTGCTCCTCTCTCGAGCGCACGCAGCCTGGAGAGGTTTAAAGGGAAAAGGAGATGAAAGTAAAACAAAAGCTCTGCCGAAGCCGTCAAGTCCTCCGCGCGGTGGAGACGTCAGAGCCTGTGTCCCCTGCCCGGGGCCCCGAAGGCCGAGCCGCTGACACCTGCGGGTCACCAAAGGAGATGAAAATAAAACAAAACAGCAACAAGCTTTGCCGATGCCCTCAAGTCCTCTGCGTGGTGGTGTTGTCAGAGCCTGTGTCCCGCGCCCAGGGCCCCGAAGGCCGAGCCGCTGACACCTGCGGGTCACCAGGCACCGGCCTCACCTGCGTGGCCACGTTCAACCTCCCGCCAGCTCCTGGAGGTGGTGGGCTTGCGGGCGGAGGCTCGGTGTTAAAGCAGCCCTGCTGGTGCAGCACAGGCACGCGGGGCTTTTTAAGAGAGAGAACCCACGCACCCCTTCGCGAACGTGCCTTTAACTGTTCTGAGGTCACGCTCCCAGCCTCAGCGACGCTCCCACAGGCCTCCGCGATCCCACTCGCCCGATGCAAAGACTGACCCGGTTTCATGGAGACCAGGCCCTCGGCCCGGAGCAGCCGCGTCCTCTCAAAGGGAAGGTCGCCCTGGCTGCTGGTCCTCGCTCTTCGTCACGTCACCCTGAATATTTCTGGCCTCGCCCCTCTCTGCCCAGCAAAGCTCATTTAGAACTGAAGGCCGGATAAAGAGCTTCATAGACAAGAAAAGCTCAAGGAATTCATCGCCACCAAACCAGAATCTCACGAAATGTTGAAGGGTCTTTTTTAAGATGAAGAAGAAGAAGAAGATTTAAAAATATATGGACAATAAAATGGCAATAAATACATATCTATCAACAATTGAATCTAAAAATCAAAATAAATGAACAAAGAATCTAAAGAACAAAATAAACTGATGACTGAAATAGAACCAGAGGCCTGGACACATGGGGCAGACTGAGGACTCTCAGAGGCAGGGGGCGGGAGGAGATCAGCCAAAGACCTGGCGTGCGTGTGCGTGACCTGTGGACACGGACAATAGGGCGGTGAAGGCCTGGGCGGGGCGGGAGCCGGGTGGAGGGGGGCCACGGGGGGAGAAGGGGGACATCTCAACAGTAGCGGCCCCGAAGCTCAGGTGTGGGTCCCGCCGTGGCCCATTGCTAGTCGGACACGGCTGCCCCTTGGTGCCGGGTCCTGCATCGGGCTCTTGCAGCGTCTCCGCCCACCCTGCCCCCCGCAGGCCCCTCGATGGGGATGGTGGAGACCCCGCCCTGACATTCTTTCTCTTCCCAGCCTCCAAGAAGCTCTGCGTGTCAGTCCTTCCCTGCCCCCCCACCCCGGCCCTGCGCCCACTTACCCTGCAGCTGGCGGCCCTTGTAGAGGTCCCGCGCTTTGGTGGGGTGCGCCCTGGCCGTGTTGTCGCATTTCGGCTGCTCGTACCTACGGGGGGGAAGGGAGGTCAGTGGGGTCAGGGCTCTGACGGGGGTTTCTTCCCTTTCGCGCTGGTCCCAGGGCAGGACCCGTGCTGGCCAGTTAGGGTGAGGGAGTCCGGGTTCGGGGGAGGGGCTGAGGAGGCTCTGCTTGCCGTGGGAAGGCTCACAGGGTGGTCATGGCTGCCGGTGACGCACAAGCCACGGAGCCAGCTGGGAAGCGGAAGCCGGCAGAGCAGAGAGCAATCGGCTTATTAAGTCACGTCCTGCGCGGCCGGCACGGCTCATCGACCTGTGAACCAGGAGGTCAGGGTTCGATTCCCATTCAGGGCACAAGCCTGGGTTGCAGGCTCGATCCCCCGGGGAGGGGGGTGCAGGAGGCAGCGATCCATGGTTCTCTCTCATCATTGGTGTTTCTCTCTCCATCTCCCTTTCTCTCTGAAATCAATAAAAAAATATGTATTTAAAAAATCATGTCCTTGGACTGGATGCTGAATCAACCTGAACCTCCGTGCCAGCTGGTCAGCCTGGAGGCAGCTTGGTGTCTGACTGCGCCCGGAAGGCAGCCCCCAGGCCGGTCCCCCCGTGACCTTCCCCAGCAGGGGTCCAGCCCCCGGAGAGGAGGCACCTCTGCGAGCTCAGGGCTGTTTCCTCGGAGCCTGGAAGGGTGTGGGATGGCGCTGACCATGAGCATCATGACAGTGAGTGGACAGATGAACGGGGGATGCATAACAGCAGGCGGTAGGGGGCTCCCTGACTTGATGTGTCCCCTGGAACTCGGGGGGAGGGGCCCCGCCTGCAGGCCGAGCAGGGATGGCTGAGGCACTGCCCTCCCTCCCTAGAGATCGGGCTGGCGGGCCTGTGCGGGGAGGCTGTCTCTTGGCTGGTGCCTGGACCACGCCTGCCAGCCACACTCCCTCTGCGAGGGCAGCCGGGCCGGGAACCAACGCCCGACTTAAACACAGCACAGGCCGCTGTTAACTGTGCAGAAACGCTGCTTCCCAGGATCCTTAGGGGACAGCATGTGACAGGAACCAAAACATCTCACAGCAAACCCTCGTAAAGGCCCCTGTGCTGATCTGGCCGGGGCCCTGGCCGGCTGAGCTCTGGCTGGTGCTGCTGTGCTGG